CCGTCACCACCGGCCCACCGTCCCCACCGGCCCTGTCACCACCGTCCCCATGTTACATTTTTATAGAATTTAACCAGCAATGTTTAGAAAGAAACCTAAAGAGCAGAGGCAAGTTCTCAGTGATGATGAACAGACAGGCGCATACCCAATAACACGGTTTACAATCATGTAAATCTTCCGTGATGATGGGCAGACAGGAGCATGCCCAATGATACAGTTTAAAATTATGAAGTTTGCTCTTTTAGTTCATTCACTGTGAAAATCAAACATTCATCTAAGCATTAGTTAGACAATCATAAGAGAACATTCTCTATACAATGAATTCTAATAGCTCTGGAAGTCCAAACAGCATTTGACTTAATATTTTATGCCCTGGTGTAATTGTTCTCAACTAGAAGCTGGGCTCGTTTAAAATCCCTCTTTTCCCATGAAGGGACCACTAATGATGAAATTCCCACTATTGGGGAAAAACAATAACAAAATTTTAACCAAAGTTGAGCAAGCAGCAGACAACAAAATCCTAAGCTCTGGGCTTGCTGGGCTTGCTCTGGCTGCAGCAGGGAGGCCACCTGTTGATTTTTTGTGATTGGTGCCACCACCCTGTGCTGAAGGGCAGTTCTGTGAAAGAGCCCAGAGGCAGCGTGCAGCCAGAGACAGAGCTCTGGGCTTTAACTATTCTCTGTTTCCTATATAGAAAAAGGCCTTTTTTTCTTCCTCTATTCCTACCCGGGAAGAGGCTTCATTCTTTCATTTATCTTTCTTTTATGGGGCCTTTTAAGTTTTAGGCCTTGTTTCATTATTTTCCCTTTTTACTGTGATAATCCTTTCTTGATTAAACAAGAAACTTCTATAGAGAAGTTTCCTTTCACTTCCTTTCCTTCCCTTGTCTCTACTGGGGAGTTTCCCTTTTCCTTTTTTTGTTCTTTGTCTCAAGAGCCAAAGCATGCCCAATGATACAGTTTAAAATTATGAAGTTTGCTCTTTTAGTTTATTCACTGTGAAAATCAAACATTCATCTAAGCATTAATTAGACAATCAAAAGAGAACATTCTCTATACAATGAATTCTAATAGCTCTGGAAGTCCAAACAGCATTTGACTTAATATTTTATGCCCTGGTGTAATTGTTCTCAACTAGAAGCTGGGCTCGTTTAAAATCCCTCTTTTCCCATGAAGGGACCACTAATGATGAAATTCCCACTATTGGGGAAAAACAATAACAAAATTTTAACCAAAGTTGAGCAAGCAGCAGACAACAAAATCCTAAGCTCTGGGCTTGCTGGGCTTGCTCTGGCTGCAGCAGGGAGGCCACCTGTTGATTTTTTGTGATTGGTGCCACCACCCTGTGCTGAAGGGCAGTTCTGTGAAAGAGCCCAGAGGCAGCGTGCAGCCAGAGACAGAGCTCTGGGCTTTAACTATTCTCTGTTTCCTATATAGAAAAAGGCCTTTTTTTCTTCCTCTATTCCTACCCGGGAAGAGGCTTCATTCTTTCATTTATCTTTCTTTTATGGGGCCTTTTAAGTTTTAGGCCTTGTTTCATTATTTTCCCTTTTTACTGTGATAATCCTTTCTTGATTAAACAAGAAACTTCTATAGAGAAGTTTCCTTTCACTTCCTTTCCTTCCCTTGTCTCTACTGGGGAGTTTCCCTTTTCCTTTTTTTGTTCTTTGTCTCAAGAGCCATTCTATTTCTGTCTTTAAACATTGTGCAGTTAACCTTTCAGCCTTTTTAATTTCTAATCGGTTTCATCTGATAAAAGAGGAAGAGTCATCTCCAGGTCCTGTGTTTCCTCATTTTCTCTGTCCTCTGAAGCAGCCTTCCTATGGACTGTGAGGGAACCTTCCTTCTCCTCTGCTGACTGGCCATGTCTAGTCTGAGTGTCTTCTCTTTTGCTCTCCTGTTCTGCTTCACACACACCTTCAAGTCACTCCTCACTCTGCCACGGCTGCAGAGCATTTGATAATAAATTATATTCCCTGAGACGGGAAGGTTCCTGTGACCCTGATGATCCTGGAGTCCCCTTACCCTGAGGGCACTTTTCCTCCATTAATAAAGAGGCTGGCTTCTCTGTCCTTCGGCAGATCCTTTGTCCCTTTTCAATCCTCCCATTGGGCAGGGGTGAGTTCATGAGGGTCCGTGGAAAGAAGACTCATAGGTCCCGTAGAATGAGTCTGGCCTTCCCTGGCTGCAGGGGAACTCAGCCTCTCTTGGGACTCAACCATGTTCCCTCCGCCCAGGGCTTCTTTAGAAAGTTGACCTGCATATCCGCAGAGCAGTCTGACTGGGCCTCCAGAGGGATAATGTCAAATGCGTATTCCCAATAGGAAAATATGGCAGTCCTCTGGGTTGTTTTCTATCTAAGTTGCACATAGGCTTTTACCTGTGGGAACTCAGACCAGATTCACAAGGAGGGAAACAAGAGAAAGAAAAGCTACTGAGAAACAAAAGACGGAGTAGGGCTAAGTGCTGGGAAGCTGGAGGGCAGCAGGGATTCTCTCACAGCCCACGCGCTTGTTTCTCTTTTCAAACTGTAATGTTTATTTTTGGGTTCATGTGTGTAGTGCGTGCCTATGTGTTTGGGGGCAAACGCCCTTGCAGGTGCAGAGGCAGGAGGAAGACGGGGTATTGTGCTCTGTCACTGCTTCATTTGCTTGAGACAGAATCCCTCACTGAGCTTTGCTTATTTTTCAGTGTTGGGGGTAGAATTCAGTGACTCCACCACTGAGCTGCATCCCCAGCCCTCACTGGTGAGTTCTTTATAGTGCCTCCACCATTGAAAATTGTGGGGCACTATTCTTGGGGAGACATAACCAAATGTCTACTCATTCCAGATAGAGAGCCAGTGACAGCCCAAAAAATCGAGTGTGGTGAGCCAGTGACTTTTACCGGGTTACTCACATGGATATGGGTGAGGGGTTACTTACAGAAGCAGAAATGACTCAATGACAGAATGACAGCTGTATCACCAAAGGCCACCACTGCGTGAGTGACAGCTCATAGGGCTGGGAACCTAGGGCACATGGCACACACAGCCTGCAGGCAGCTCATCCAGGTGTAGAGTGCCTCTTCCCAGTGCCTCAGTTGGTCTGAATGTCTTTCTGTCAGCTCAGCTGGTCTCTACTTTTGGGACTTCGACTGCCTGACCTACTTCTAAGCTGCCCTGCCATACAGTATTCCTTACTGCTCAGAAAGGTCTGGGAAGGGAAAGGTCTGGTGAACCCGGAGACTTTCAGGGAATTCCTGAAGCTTTTTAGTTGTTCCTGAATTGTATTGAGCTTCCCTGCATGAGGGAATGTTTTACCTCCCTTTAGAACATCCTTCGTTTAAGGAGGGTTCCTGCAAGATGGGACATTTTATTTTGAAAGATATTGCTACACAACATTGAGCCACACCCCAGCCCCTCACTGGGGGATTCTAGGCAGGGGCTCTACCACTGAGCCACGCCCCTAGCCCCTCACTGGGGAATTCTAGGCAGGGGCTCTCCCCCTGAGCCACGCCCCCAGCCCCTCACTGGGGGATTTTAGGCAGGGGCTCTACCCCTGAGCCACACACCCCAGCCCCTCACTGGGGGATTCTAGGCAGGAGCTCTACCACTGAGCCATTGCCCCAGCCCCTCACTGGGGGATTCTAGGTAGGGGCTCTACTACTGAGCCACACCCCCAGCCCCTCACTGGGGGATTCTAGGCAGGAGCTCTACCACTGAGCCATTGCCCCAGCCCCTCACTGGGGGATTCTAGGTAGGGGCTCTACCCCTGAGCCAACTCCATCCCTTCACTGGGGTCAGAGAGCATGTGCAATTCTCTGATGCAGAGTAGAATTCTCTTCTGGGTAGTCATGGGCACATAGAAAATTTTTATTCCTTATTCCATCCATGCCTGATGCACAGAATCCTAGCAGACCTTAACACTGAGTGCCAGCTCTTACAGCCCATTTGCAGGTGACAGAATTGAAATGTAGCGGGCTAATGAGCTTAAGCTAGGGTTAATCAGTGAGAGCCTACTAGCACAATACACCTTTTAAAATTACTCATATTTATTTAGTGTGGGTGTATACACACGCATGTGTCAGAGGACAACCTTGGGAGCCAGCTGTCCCCTTCTTTGTGGGTCCTTGGCAGGAAGCACCCTTACCTGCTGAGCCATTACAGCCCGTTCCCAGTTTCTAAACATAAAGCATTTTGTCCCTTGATGCTACTTGGAGCCAGTACATTTCATTACCCTCTGTCAGCACACATTTCTCAGGATGGGTGTGAACACACTAGAAGCTGTCCAGTAGGAAGCAGGAACAGTTGGGAAGGCTGTTCCTGCCTGTCGCCTAGGGTGGGACATCCAGGGATAGCGGGAATGTGGCCCCTGTGCCCTACTTTGCAGTACGTGCATGTGCCTGCCTCTGGAGGTGGGGGGCATGTTGACCTCACCTGGACACAGTTGTATTTTCCCGCTCTCATGTGTCTGTCATCCTGTCCTGCCTCCCCAGGTCTCCACCATTTCCTAGAAAAGAGGAGAAAACAACTAAATTGCAGGTGAGTTGATGTTCATCTGTGCCATATGTTCTGGTTTCTGTTGCTGTGAAGAGACACCATGACCCTGGCAATTCTTGTAAATGGAAAGACCTGAGAGTTCTCCATCTTGGTCCACAGACAGCAGGAGAGTGTGTGCCACACTGGGCGTGGCTTGAGCATGTGAGACCTCAAAGCCTCCCTCTGCACTGACACACTTCCTCCACCAGGGCCAAAGACCTCATAGTGCCACTCCCTATGGCCAAGCATTCAGACACATGAGTCTGTGGGGGCCACAGCCTGTTGAAACCACCACAGTCCCTCGTGTCTAGAAACGTGTGCACTGTTCCCCTCTTAGGCCAGGGTCAGGAGTGGCGGCAGCTACTGGGCCGTACATATGTTAGTCTCATGAATAAATCTTCCTGAGTTTATTTTAAAATATATTTGCTTATTCATGGGGGTAAACAATCATACCACAGTGTGCCTGTCAAAGTGAGAGGGCAACTTTTGGGAGTCTAGCCTCGGCTTCCGCCATGTGGGTTCTGGGATTGAACATAGGTAGTCAGGTTAGGGTAAAAGCCTTTACCTCCCGAGCTGCCTTCATAGTTCTCATCTGTTGCATTTGAGTCCCCTTTGTGTGTAGGGGGAGGGAAGCTTAATATTCTTTCCTTCCCCTTTCTTTGAAGGAGGGTCTTACTCTGTAGCCTGGGCTAGCCCCGTCATCTGCTGTCATTGACTGGAGGGAGTTAGTTCACCCTCCAGACAGCACTCAGGGTATGCAAAAAATCAGCAAACCTTTGTATCTGAGGGGAAAATGAGGGAACGCACACACTTGCTGACGGTCACTTTCTCTTTTACCTCCTCTTAAACATGCTCTGTGAGCATCTGTGTCTGCCGGGTGCATGCTTTACATACAGCTGCACACCTCTCTCCCGCACAGCCTCACGCCTTACGCTTAGTGGCGTCCGTGTCCCATATTCGCCAGCTTCCTCCACATGGTCCAACCTTCACACTTCTTACATCTCTCACGCGTCTCTCTCCAGCACACTCAGCTCCGTCTCCCTTCACCGCACACACTCACACCCACACTCACACCTCCAGCCAAACTCTAGGCAGTTGCATGTTACCTTTCCAGGGCCCTGGCCCATTCTTAATGCAGGGCATGTTACACAGTTTCTTCCAGGCTAGGTCGGGAACACTAACGCTTGGCTGTACACATAGCATTGGCAGAACCTCGAGCCTTTTGTCATTGGGAGCATTGCAGAAAGCCACCTGCTGCAATTAAGAAACTTGTTTCTTAATGGTGCCAGCCGGATATTGGCTTAACAGACACTTGGGAACTTGTCCTTGGGCAAATTGTTGGCTTGTTAAACACTAACTGTCACGTGCTGTATACTCAAGGGCAGCTCTCTACAAGAGACTGTACTGTGCTCTGTGCTTCTGCAAGCTTGAAGGCCAGGACCAACTCCCGAAAGACTTCCCATTACGTGCCCTGTCACGTGTACAGCTACAGACATACGCACATGCACACTCATCAACTCCCGAAAGACGTCCACATACATGCCCTGTCACGTGTACAGCTACAGACATACGCACATGCACACTCACAGACTCACGTGCATGTGCCTTCATGTTCATGCACACATGTGCACCCACGCACACACACACAGACACACATGCATGCACAGACACACGCACACACACACAAATACAAGGGCTCCTTTGCAGCCCTCACGGTGGGTGGATCCAGCAGACAGAAGGCTGGCAGAGGTAGGTACTTCCACCTGAGAGCCTCTGAATCCCACATAGACTCTCCCTTCACGTCTCAGGACCACCTCTTCTATAATCATAGCCCACATGTGTTTGCTGTCACAGGAGATGGTGACATTCAAGGATGTGGCCGTGGTCTTCAGCAAGGAGGAGTTGGTCCTGCTGGACGCCGCCCAGAGGAAGCTGTACCGAGACGTGATGCTGGACACCTTCAGGACGCTGCTCTCAGTGGGTGAGGATGGGGTCCGGGTTTCCCCGAGGACGGACTGGGACCAGCCCTGTGGGAGCCCCGGAACTCCTGGAGTTATGCCCTGGGCTTGGTTGTCTAACTGGAAGCACTGGAGGATTCTCATGGCTCCGTCCGTCTGTGTTTTGAGCTGTTTATGAGAGTCCTGCTTGGTTTTGTCAACTTGACACAAGCTGGAGTCATCGGGGAAGAGGAACCTCACTTGAGAAAACCGTTCCATCAGGGTGACCTGGGGCGAGTCTGTGTGCCATTTTCTTGATTAATTATTGCTGTGGTTGTGGCCCAGGCCACTGTGGGTATTGTTGGCCTTGCCAGGTGGCTCTGAGTTGTGTGAGGAGCAAGCCAGTAAGCAGCGCCCCTCCATAGAGCCCAGGCTAGACTGTTCCCAAACTTACTGTATAGATGAGGGTGGCCTTGAACCTCTGGTCTGCCTGTCTCTTCCTCCCAGGTACACCTATGACAGACATACACCTCCATACCCAGCTCTTTTATGTAGTTTTGACAAAGTAGACATGATCAAACTTTTGCTTTTTTGTTTTTTTCACACAGCACATGAGCCCTTCAAACCAGGTCTGATAGCCCAGCTGGAGAATGAAGAGAAGCTTTGCATGGTGGAAGCCCAAGCAGGTGGGAACGATGCTTCTGGGTCAGCGGGTGGGAGTACTTTCTAGAACACAGGGCAGGGTGTGTCATTTCTCCCCTTAACTCTCTGCTGGTCCCCACTTGATAAACAGTATAGCAGATTTTACAGAGCTTAGAGCAGGACTGGTGAGACATCTCCATGAGTTAGGGTGCTTGTCACCAAGCTGGGACCCCAGTTCCATCCCTAGAACCCACGGGGTGGAAGGAGGGAGAAAATGACTCCCCCAGGTTGTCCTCTGACCTCCACAGTCATGCCAGGGTGGCTTGACCACACACACAGAGACCACACACACACACACACACACAGAGAGAGAGACAGAGAGAGAGAGAGACAGAGAGAGAGAGAGAGAGAGAGAGACAGAGACCACACACAGACCACACACACACACACACACACACACACACACACACACACACACACCAACCACAAACACACACAAACACACACACACACACACCCACACACACACACACACACACATCCACACCAAAGTAAAAACAATCAAAACCAACAGCTAACAGTCTATACTGATCACAACCTCAAACTGTTCCAGACACTTCTTGTGCCATCAGAACAAGCCACAGCCTCTATAGCCATACTGATATTCAGTAGATCTAGTTTCTGTGGACACACAGACCACACATACACAGAGAGAGAGAGACAGAGACAGAGACAGAGACAGAGACCACACACAGACACACAGACCACACACACACAGACCACACACACACAGACCACATACACACAGACCACACACACACACACACACACACAGAGAGAGAGAGAGAGCACACACAGAGACCACACACACACACACAGAGACCACACACACACACACACACACACTCATGCTCACAAAGACAAAATACATTTTTCCACTTTGGGAATATCCCCTTTTGTTTTCTTCATTGGATCACCCAACAATCTATGATAAAGACCCAATGACATGCTTAGAATTCACTAAGCATGGGGCCTTAGTGAATGGGGCCCATATTTGATATCCAGATTTCGTTAGGAAAAACCCATATCTCTGTGAGGTAGAGGCCAGCCTGGTCTACCAGGCAAGTTCTAAGAGAGCTATGTCCTATGTCTGTTACGCAAAACAAAATAAAGAAAGAAAAAAAAAAAAACCATAACTTTTTCTGTTATTTATTTATTTATTTCTTGGTTTGTTTTTTTTTTTAATTTTTGGAGACAGGGTTTTCCTTTGTATTCCTTCCTGTCCTGGAACCCACTCTGTAACCTGTTGTCCCAAAGCATTCTCCTCATGTCAGACCTGGCCAGAAGGTGCAGGCGTGTTACCCAGAGGTCAGGGTTCCTTGAAAAGATGTCCAGAGAGGAACACGGAGTCTCAGCACCAAGGAGATTGCCCCTGCCTGGTGTGTGCAGGCATGCCGGTTCAGATTTCTGAAGATGGGAACTATGTGTTGCCTCCTGTAGATGATGACTCTGCCTCTATGAGAAATCAAGGGTTTCTGTCGCTGAGAGCCAAGCAGTCCTGGTGGGAGTCTTATCTCCGAGGCTCATGTGATTGCCAGTGGGAAGGTCAGCAAATGTCCAGAAGGAGTCATTTCTGTAGGTGGGATGGCATCAGTTGTTTCTCCTGCCACAGGGACAATGAGGGGTTGCACAGAAAGGAGGAAGGCTCTAGTTTCCATGACAACAGAGAAGAGACCATGAAGGTATCATCACTTAAGCAGGACTTGGTTAAATTAGGGCCTGAGCCCTGCCCATGTACTGAGGATAGAAAAGCCTGGGGCCTTGGTGACAGTGAGGACCACAGCTCTCACACACATCAGCAGTTCTCCTCAAGAGGAAAGCCCTGCACACACAGTCCATGTGCTAAGGGCTGTCATGAGGGGTCAGCTCTTCACAGTCATCACAGTGTGGAGACGGGAGATGAAGGTGCTGCTGAGAGCCCTCCTCTGGGTTCCCCTCCGAGGGTGTGTACAGAGCAAGCGCTGGGCCGGGCCAGTGAGAATGTCCATCACGGCTCCCCTCTGAACATCTGTGGGTGTGCCCACCCAGGCAGCGCCTCCCAGCAGTGCAGCATCCCTGAGGAAACTTTGGGTTGTTGTTTACACTGTAATAGTAATTTTAGGGCCCACACTAGGGAAGAGCCCAGCAAATATGAGGAGAATAGGAATGTGTCTAATCAGAGTTTGTATCTCCAAGTGAATGAGATCATCCGTGCTGAAGAGAAACTATATCCAGGTGTGGCGGGCAGAAAAGATTTCACACACTGTTCCCAGTTTGACCCTCGTCACCGAGTTCCTGTGGAAGAGACTCTCTATAACCCTGCATGTGGTAACCACTTCAGTTTGCCCCCACATTTCCAGGACTTCCCAACAGTGCATCCCAGGGAACAGCCGCATAAGCATCCATACGGTACCAGCTTCGGTCAAAAGTTGTGTGTTCAAGGCCATCAGCAACTTCTCATCAGAGAGAAACCTTTCAGTAAACAGGGTAGAAATGGATGTAACTGGAGTTCCCGGTCAAAAGATCATCAGAAACAGAAGCCACACAAATGCAGCACCTGTGGGAAAGGCTTCAGTCACAGATGGGTTCTTAACATCCACCAGAGAGTCCACACAGGAGAGAAGCCGTACAAGTGTGAGGAGTGTGGGAAGGTCTTCAGCCAGAGTGCCTACTTGCATGCCCACCAGAGAGTCCACACCGGGGAGAAGCCATACAAGTGTGAGGAGTGTGGGAAGTGCTTCAGTCGGAGTTTCTACCTGCAAGGCCACCAGAGAGTTCACACTGGGGAGAAACCATACAAATGTGAGGAGTGTGGGAAGGAATTCAGTCGGAGTTCACACCTTCAAGGCCACCAGAGAGTCCACACTGGAGAGAAACCATACAAGTGTGAGGAGTGTGGGAAGGGCTTCAGCTGGAGTTTTAATCTTCAAATTCATCAGCGGGTTCACACAGGAGAAAAACCCTATAAATGTGGACAATGTGGCAAAAGTTTCAGCAAGGCCTCAACTCTCCTGGCCCATGAGAGAGTCCACACTGGAGAAAAGCCTTACCAGTGTGATGAGTGTGGGAAGGGCTTCAGTCAGAAATCATACCTTCAAAGCCACCAGAGTCTTCATTCTGGAGAGAGACCATATATTTGTGAGGTGTGTGGGAAGAGCTTCAGTCAGAGAGCATATCTACAAGGCCACCACAGGGTCCATACCAGAGTAAAACCATATAAATGTGAGATGTGTGGGAAGGGCTTCAGCCAGAGTTCCCGCCTTCAGGCACATCACAGGGTCCACATGCGGGGGAAACCGTACCAATGTGAGATGTGCACGGAAGGATTTAGTAAGAGTTCTTGTCTCCAAGCACATCAGAGGATCCACACAGAAGGAAGACCCTACAAATGTGAACAGTGCGGTAAGGGCTTCAGTGGGTCTTCCAGTCTCCAGGCCCATCAGAGGGTCCACACTGGGGAGAAGCCGTACAAATGTGAGGTGTGTGGGAAAGGCTTCAGCCAGAGATCAAACCTTCAAGCTCATCAACGAGTCCACACAGGAGAGAAACCCTACACGTGTGATGTTTGTGGGAAGTGTTTCCGCTGGAGTTCAGGACTTCTGATCCATCAAAGAGTCCATAGCAGTGATAAGTTCTGCAGGAGGGAAGAGTGTAGGAATAGTTATTCTTCTGATAACCTATGCAGAAATGAAGGCCTGTCAAATGCTGTTCTGTTTTGTTTATGAAAATGTAGTGTTTGTACCCAACATGAATGCCAGTCTTGGTTGGGAAGCAACATGGTGTAGAGCTCTACCAAGAGTTTGTCAAAATCTCAACAAGCTTTTGCAGAGAGGATCAAGCACTTCCCAACATGCATGTCAGCAGGAATTAAGAAAAGTACAATAGGGCTGGAGAGATGGCTCAGAGGTTGAGAGCACCGACTGCTCTTCCAGAGGTCATGAGTTCAATTCCTAGCAACCACATGGTGGCTCACCACCATCCCTTATGAGATCTGATGCCCTCTTCTGGTGTGCAGATAGACATGGAAGCAGAATGTTGTATACGTAATAAACAAATAAAATCTTAAAAAAAAAGAAAAGTACAATCTTCATGTCCACTAGGACATAACCTGGATGATAGAGACATTGTCCCCTGCCAAGGCTGCATGACAATGGCTAGAGAAATGGCTCAGCTGTGATGAGCACTGGCTGCTTTTTAAGAAGACCACATGGTGACTACATGGGGCCCAGACATATGTTCAGGCAAAACACTCATATACAGAAAAATAAATGAAACCTTGCATAGTCAGACATTTCCTTCCTGACCACCTGGTCCCAAATAATCACTCAGAGGCTCATATAATGTACAAATGCTCAGCCAATAGCTCGGGCTTGTTACAAGTTAACTCTTAAACTAACCCATAATTCTTATCTACCTTTAGCTACGTGGCTTGGTACCTTTTCTTGGTACAGCATTGTGGTGTGAATTCCAATTGGTCTTAATAAAAACCCAGGGTCAGATATCAGTTGAATTGGTGAATGATCAGAGACACAAAGGAACAAATCACAGCCACCTCCCACCTTGCCAATTTCTCGGCTGAAAAAGGGCCACGGTCCAGTCTCTGCCCTGCTTTATCACTCCTCTCAGCCCAGCCATACATATCATGTCCTGTTTCCTCCCAGGAGCAGGGATTAAAGTATGTGCTACCATGGCCTGGCCTCTATTGCTAACTAGTGGCTAGCTCCTCACTCTGACCTCCACACAAGCTTTATTTGTTAAAGCACAAACAAAATATCACCACATTTGCACCTTTTTGTCTAAAATAAAAAGATTATAACTAATAAATACTATGTACAGTAAGTACAATAACTATAAACAACACACAGGCAATAAACACATCAACAATATCTAATCCATTTAAATTTGACAAGTTCATTGAAGATACCCCATTATTTATCCTATCTTGGTGAGTCCAAATTGTATCTAATTCACCTTCTATCCTAATTTGTATTACCGAAACTATCTTTTAATGTCTCTACCTCTTAATCCCGAGTCCTAGGATTAAAGGTGTGTACCACCGCCTCCGAGCTTCTGACTGCTGGGATGAAAGGTGTGTATCACCACTGCCTGATCTCTATAGCTTATGGCTGACTTTGCTTTCTGAATCCTCATGCAAGCTTTAATAAATCAGCAATAATTACCACATCACCACACTTAGCCTCATCTTTCCTCCAGGTCCTCCATTGTAATTGAGGACCAGGCTCCAAGACTGCTATGTCTCTCCAATCTTGAGGGATAATTAATTCTATTACAACGGGTTGGACGCGAGTTTGATGTCTGCTTCACAAAGGGTGAATGCACGGCATATGAGACTATAGTTCCCTTGAATCTCCTTAAATCTAACATTTCCATAGGAGTCCATTCAGCTCTTGCACAGCCTTGGGAACATCTATCATTTGGCCATTCTTGTAAGGTCACTGGATAAAGTTGGTTGTTTGAAAACCTTATGCTGTCTGTCTCTTACCTTGTAATGCTGAAACTGGTTCTCCTTTAAATTCCTCTGTCTGGATCTGAATATCTCAATGATCTGTTTTAATAAGTTTTTCTAAGGCCTGCATCTTGGCACTCATATCAACCAACTTTTTAAAGGGTAAGCAAAGAATTACCAAACCAACAATAAAGATTATCAAAATGATAGTTAACTACAGAACAGGTTTGAGGCTAGCCTGGGCTACATGCCATCCTGCCCTTTTTTTTTTTTTTTTTTTGAAAGCAAAACCCAAAATGTGAAGAAAATAAGCATCCAAAAGTAGAATAACATGGGCCTAATATTTGCTGGTTGGAAACTCATGGCATAAAGCAGGGAGAGAGGGAACAGGGAAGGTGTCTGGCGGTTAAAGGCTGAGAACTTTCAAAACATAGTAAAAGACCTCACCTAGATTCAATACTCATGCAGGACACAAACAGAACACCAGGGTGTGGCAGCATGGGCTTTGAGGAAATGGGGGCCAGGAGGATAAGGAATCCAACGTACAGAATCTACACAAGGAGCACAAGTCTGGGGAACACAATGAGTTCTAGTCCAACCTGAACTTAAAGATGATCCTATTAAAAAAAAAAACAAAAACAAACAAAAAACACCACCCCACTGACAGCTGTGGTGGCACGAGATTTTGATCTCAGCAAGTATATCTCTGTGAGTTCGAGGCCAGCCTGGTCTACACAGTGAATTCCAGGACAACCAGGGCTACACAGAGAAACCCTGTCTCAAAACAAGCAAATAGAAGAAGAGGAGGAAGTACACCGTATTGCTATTTCCAAAGGGGAAATGGGACAGTGTCAGCAGGGGGCTAATTAAGCAGTGTTGCTCAAGGGGAACCCAGGACCTCAAGAGCATCGCTGATGAGCATGCAGCGGTCTAGGGACTGATAACTCCAGTCTCTGCAGGGGGAAACGCCAAGTCCCCAGGAACCGAAACCTTACCTTATCCTTTGAGGCCCAGGCCTCAGCTCCAGACCGGCCCTCCCAATTCCACTCCTGAGCAAGGACACAGAACTAGGTTCCTTTTGTCCTTTCATCGGGGCCTCCAAGAAAGCCCTGGATCCATCAGACCGGCCGTCAAGCCTGCGTCTGTGCATTTTGTGTACACGAGATGCCCGTGGACACTAGAGGAGAGCCTTGGATCCTCTGCCACCGGGGGTTCTTGACAGTTGTGAGTCACGGTTCACTGGATGAGCAGCAATTGCTCTTAACTGTTGAGGCATCTTTCTAGCCCTGAGAGCTTTGCATACACATACAATTATATTAATTTTAATATTTATTTGTTAAGATTTATCGTGTGTGTGTGTGTGTGTGTGTGTGTGTGTGTGTGTGTGTGTGTGTTTAGAATTACATGTTGTTGTGAGTTGTCCAACATGGGTGATGGGAACCAAATCTGGGCCCTCTGTAAGAACAGTATGTACTCTTAACCACAGAGCCATCTATCCCATGTATTTGAATTTTTAAAAAATGTATCTCCAAAGCTACACAGAGAAACCCTGTCTTGAAAAATAAAAAAAAAATGTATATTAGTTTTAATTTTCTTATGAACTCCTAAAGCAACACAAAGTAACCTGTTGTTTGAGTGGGCTCCAGCTGTAAACCGTCTCAGCAAAGTCATAAATAGACTCCTTGGTGTCCCCACACAACCCTATTTTAGGGAGTAACAGAGATGTCCCTCTATCCCCAAATCTCAGTCACAGCACCTCCTGTTTTAAGAAGCTGCCAATGACGAAGCACTTTGCAATTCTGCATTGGAAACACTTGGTTTAGATGAACAGTTGCCACCAACCCTGCCGCAGAGTATGTGGTTGGCCAGCTCACTGCAAGCCGAGTTTGGATTTTGTACCTTTATCGTCGTGTTACACACTCAGGCAGGGGAGGAGATGTTGCCTTGCTGACCTATGTGACTCCAACAAGCTATATTCTGTACACACATATCCATTGACCTCACGTTTCCATGGTGGGCTGGTTGATGCGCGCCTTCCTTAGACTTCTCCACCAAACAGGTAAGAGTCACAGGCTCCTGTCTCCCGAGGAAAATTTGCGATGTGGGATGATAGGGGTCAAACATAGTTTAAACTTGATGTTTACTGAACACGCTTCCAAAAGTAGGCGGGAACACCCGGCCTGGGTTGGTTTCTGTTTCTGAGCAAAACCACCTGGGGGGAGAAAGGGTTTATTTGGGTTAAACGTGCCAGTCACAGCTGATCACCGAGGGAAGCCAGAGGAGGAGGAGTTCAAGCCGGAGTAGAGGGGGAACACTGCTTACAGACTTGCTAGTTCATGGCTTGCTAGGCATTTGTTTGTCTGAAACAGTCTCACTATGTAGCCCTGGCTGTGCTGGAACTCACTCTGTAGACCAGGCTGGCCCAGAATTCACAGGGATCCACCTGCCTCTCCCTCCTGGGTGCTGGGATCAAAGGGCACCAGGCCTGGCTGATAGACTTTTTTATATATATATATATGTACAACCCAGGACCACTTGCCCAGGGGCAGGGGACCAATCACAGTGGGTGGGATCCTGCCACACCAATCACTAATAAAGAAAATGTCCATAAACTTTGCCTACAGATCACTCTCATGGGGGCGTCTTTTCAGTGGAGCATCCTTCTTCCTTCCCTGCGAGTGCCAAGTTGACAGTCTGTAACTCCAGCCCCAGGGGACCTGACACCCTCTTCTGGCCTTCAACGGTGCCTGCACTGCCATGCAAACAAATAACGACAGCAAAAACGAGTCTGGCCTTAAATCCACTGGTTGTGCAACAGTGAATTTAGTACAGTGTATATTCGGTCTCTACAATACTCTCCTCCAGACTTAGTTCTACCGCTGAGCCACGCCCCAGCCCCTCACTGGGGAATTCTAGGCAGGGGCTCTAATGCTGTTGAGCCAAGCTGCCACAGCTGCACAGTTTAAGCTTTAAACTTTTGATATTTAATATGGGGCATCAATGTCTTTTTGTTTTGTTTTGTTTTAAAGAATCCATAGGCCCGGGCGTTGGTGGCGCACAACTTTAATCCCAGCACTCGGGAGGCAGAGGCAGGCGGATCTCTGTGAGTTCGAGGCCAGCCTGGTCTCCAGCCTGAGTTCCAGGACAGCCTCCAAAGCTACACAGAGAACCGTGTCTCGAACCCCCTCACCTCCCCCCCACAAAAAAGAATCCACGGTCGTCTTTTATAGCATTTCAGTAATGAACAAAACGAAAAGCAATCCGGAGGACCAGTTCCCGAAAACCAACATCCACTGGCTTCACTCCCGTTAAAAACGGTGGCGTGAAACTAGCCTTCTGGGCAAT